CTTTCTGTTGTCTATGCTTGTCCTCCCCCCGCCCTCCCCTTACAGCTGACAGCTGAAGTGCAGCAGAGCCACCCATTCTACACTCTGAGTTTGCACAGAAAGAATCCTTCTAAGAAACCACAACAGCAAGCGTCTTTCACAGCATCTCTGTGGAGTAAATCGGGACAGGCTCAGGCAGGGCCACGTTATGCTCATTGGATGTGCTTAGTATTGATGGCAGCTTACTCTCCTGAAATAGATTTGAGGCTTTCTGAGAACAAGGGCTGAATCCGGGTCTCCCTTTATTTGCATTTTCACCAGGACAGTAGAGTAAAAAGGATACTGGACTTAGTGATCCAAGCTGTAGGTCCTAGTTTCAGCCCTGCCCTTCAAAAGGCAGCCTCAACTGCCTCCTCCACACTCCATGGGATTATTGTGTGGTGCAAATTAGACAATGTGTGGGAAAATACTCGAGGGCTCCCAAAGTGCTGTGCCTGTAGAAAAAATGTGTAAGAGCTGCTACTTCTCAAGAACAACACGTTAACTGATTTTCTTGTAGAGGACAGGGAGGCAGAAAACAGAAGTGGTCCACTTTAGAAAACCAATGGGGAAACACTCAGGGATGGAGGTAGGGGGAAGATGAAGTGCCTAGGAGCCTTCGGAGTGAGAGGAGATGCTTCCTCAATGCCCACCTTGGGAGATCTCTACACTCTCTCTTTTGCTTCAGAAGAGAAGAGTCCTTTATTTGTGGGCTTATTCTTCCCCCCAGGGTTTATTGAGCACCTACTCTATACGGAGGGCTATTCCAGGAATTGAGAATTGAATGATGAGAAAACCAGAGGAGGTCCCTGTTTATTCCCAAACAAGTTTGGGCTTAGGCGTATGCATTGAGAGTTGGATAATAGTCCAACAAAACAAAAGCATCGGGAATGAATAGCAGGAGAAGTAACCACCACCCTGGTCAAGGGACAGCACTGTGCCAACCTGCCCCGCCCCCAGGCCCCTATGTGAGTCTGGCCCATGTGCAACCCCTCCCTTCCCCGAAAGGATCCAGACTCCCAGGTTTTCAGTCTTCACTTCTGTGTTTATTCACGACACCAGGTGTATATCCTGAGATACAAGTTTTAAGTCCATTCTTCCTTCCTTCCTTATTGGGGACTGAACTCAGGTCTCACATATGCTAGGCAAGCACTCTACCACTGAACTACATTTCCAACCCTTTTTGAGACAAGGTCTTGCTAAATTGTACAGGCTGGTCTTGAACTTGAAACCTTTCTGCCTCAACTTCCTGAGTAGCAGAGATTACAGGTGTGTGCATGTAGTCTTCCTGTTTTCTAGTCTTTTAAGCATATTTTAAGCAATGAGTCCCCCTCCCCCCATCTATTTCTTTTCCTTTCAAGTTATCTGTTGAGGGCTGTGTAGCCTGCAGATTCCCACAGTCTGGATTTTGCTCTTGGTGCATGCCAATAAGTCCTCAAATACCCATTTTCAATGCAAATAACACTTACTTAAAAATCACCGTTTGCCAGCCATGCTCTTCAGGAGGGCACAACCCATTACCATCATTTTCTCATCAGTGTGTGGGCAAAGGGGGCCCTCACAACAGAGATGACAAGGCAGAAAGAGCGGTCGGGGAATTCTCCGTGGAACTAGTGATTTGTGACAATATCTATGTATATATATGTTTGCAATTGGAAGTGACCAGGGAATGCTTCTCCTTAATGTCTTCCAATATGGTTTGCTTTAGTAGAAAGCACGTTTGGATTGGGGTTTGGCATGATGTTATGCTCCAGGGTCCAGGGTTGTATATATTAGGTTTTATCAAAGAAAATTACATAATAGGAGGCTGGATGGAGCGAAAACCTAAGGAATCTGAACCGCTAACCAGACTCACCCAACGTAATAAATATAAATTATAGACAAAGGAAGATTGAATCAGGCCATTTACTTATGGTTTGGAGCAAGAAAAGGAAGCTTTAACATTTTTTCTTTCTCCAGTCTTGGCAGGCAGGCTCATGAACACAATTATTAGCATTTTCAAAAGGCCTTATCAAATATTGAGTTAATAAAGAGGCAATCCACTTAAGAGTGGCCTCCAAACACTCCCCATAAGTCCAGGGTCCTAAATTTTATGCTTCAGAGCCATCACATTCACACAATGGACAAAAGAAATGACTTGTATCATATTAGGAGATGGGAACTTTTAAATACATTAAATGTGTGCGGGGTCTATTTTAATTTTCAGAGGGGGAAAGAAAGCTCCAAAACAGAGGAATACGATAGAAAAAAAAAAAAAGAGAGACTCAAAAGACTTTTAAAATTCAATAGGCTACTGACATCTTCAAAATGAAAACATCAGAGGGGAATGAAGGAAATTAGGTGGATGGAGCTGGGGCTCAGCGGTAGAGTGCTTGCCTTGCATGTGTGAGGCACTGGGTTTGATACTCAGCACCTCATAGAAATAAATAAATAAAATAAAGATGTATTTAAAAAAAAACGAAATTAGGCGGAGAGCATAAATGACCACCTGCTGGTTCTGTATTCTTATTTCTTTCCTTGGCTCTCCCAGGGATTGTATTTGTGAGAGAAATCAGATTTGCGAGGCCTATTTCCTGTTCATATTGGAGAAAAGGTAAAGGCAGGAAGGGGCTGGAGGGAAAGCATAATTGAGAGGACTTAATGCAAATTCGGCAGGCAGACTATTTGTCTCCTGGGCTGCAGGAGAAAATTTTAAAATTTGCTTGCAAGATTGGGTTCCTGCTCTTACAACATCGATGGTAAGAGATTTCCAACCCTGAATTTTACAATGCTCTAGGGCATATCCGATTACTATAATATGTGCATTTAAAATTCTCGAAGTCAAATTAATTTAAATTCCGTTTCACCAAAATCACAAATATAATTCAAAAGCTTTTTTTTTTTTTCCTTAGTTATCATTCCTAGTCTACCTTTCTGAAAGATTCGATAATGTTTCTTGGAATTCCCCCTACCAGCGCTCCGGGACACTGTCACTCTGCTGTCTGAGCACTGTCTCCCAGCTGGCTCAGGGGCCTCCTCCAGCCCCCACCTCTGGATCACAGGGTTCCCAGAGTCCTTTGCTCCTCTCTACCCCGGCCCCCCAGCCCCACCTCAAGTCCCTCCTAGACTTCTCTCTTCTGGAGATTTCTGATCCCTGCTTCCAAGCTATTAGAGGAATGGAGTTTCTGGAGGGCAGGCCGGGTTGGGTCCCTGCAGTGATGCTTGGAGGGAAACCAGAACCCAGATAGCAGGATGAATATATTATGGCTTCTGCACCTCTCTCAGCTCTCTTCCCATGCTGGGCCAGGCTGGGTCTAAGCATGTTTCATGCATTATGCTGTTTAATCCTTATACCACTTCTGAAAAAAGCGTGCTCATACTCATTTTCCACACATGAGAAGATTTAAGCTCAGACAGGGAGGGAGCTAGCCAAAGTAGCCAAGCTGGGAACCAGCTCCAAGCCTGGTGCTGAATGATCACGCTCTTTCCGCTGAAGCAGATTTTGTCCTTGTATTTCTGGACCACAGAAGGACTCCAGAGCTTTGTGGTTTGTCCTTTGGTGGACCAGTGGAAGGACAGATCAGCGGTCCCATTTCCAGCTGCCCCTAGCCATGTCAGAGAGGAACCTGCCCTACCTGGGCCCAGCTGCTGACCACCAGCTTCCTCTGTGGGTCTCATTCCTATGAGGGATGTGTGGGTCTTTATTTTGTACATCCCTACACTTCCCAGCTTGGAAAGTGCCAGTTCTTCCTGGGATTGTGCCATTCGTAGATGGATCAGGGCCTCAAGGTTCTTCCTTGGCAAAAATTGCATACATCAGTTCAAAGGAAACCTCTGTACTGATGAGACTAAACATCAGTGCTGTCAAAGACAGGCCTTGGTCTGGGACGGAGACATATATGATTCTGTATTTGCATCAGCAATGTCTTCTTGAGCCATCCTTGATGAAGGGGAGCCACGGAGCCCCAGGCTTCAAGCCCTCTCTTCAACCCATCGAAAAGTCCTCTTGAACACTGTCTCCTTTCCCATGGCTATGGCTTGGAGATGGTTTGGGTGTGTCCCCCAAAGATCATGTGCTGCAAGCTTGGTCCCCAGTGTGCAAGTGGAACCTTTCAGAGGTGGAGCCTGGTGCAAGGTCATTATGTCATGAAGTCATTTCTCTCAGGAGGGATTAATGCTGGTCTCAAGGAGGGAGTTAGTTCTTGTGAGAGCAGGTTGTTGTAGAATAAGACCACCCCTGTGCTTGGCCCCTTCTGCATGTGGCTGTTTCTCTTTCTGCTCCTCCAGTAAGTTGTGATACACTTAGGAAACCCTAGCCAGAGGCCTAACAGATGGGGCTATTCAATCTTGGACTTTCAGCAGCCTCTAAAACTATGAGCTAAATGAATCTCTTTTCTTTACAAGGTATCCAGCTTCAGGTTATTTTGTCACAGCAACAGAAAAAGAACTAAGATACCCGTAAATCCATATTCTATACCATCAACTACTATGTGGAAATAAAATATTCAGTGGCCATTTTTCCCCCTATTATCTGTTCTTACCTTTTATCCTACTGAGTATTTAATTTTATTAGCCACATTTGGAGTTCAGGGGTGAAGATAAGTATTCAAATAGCCAAGAGGTTTTATTTATTCATGATGTCTTTCTTGCTCAAAGAGTCATCAGGAGATGGTAAGTGTGGGGCTTGTGTGCAGTCACTGACTCCCAGGGCCCATACACTGGCTGGCTAGGTCAGGTCCTAGAAGGGAGAGGAGACCTGAGTTCCTAGACGCTCAGTGTGTGTGTGTGTGTGTGTATGTGTGTGTGTGTGCGCACACATGCAGGTATGTGACTTACCCCAGGTGTGCGTAGGTGGTGGTAGGAAGTGGGGTGTGACCAGAGAGAAAGAACAATGCTCATAGAAACGTGACACCTCCCAGAAGGGTCTTACACAAGTCCCTGTGCACACACAGTCCTGTTGCTACCGGAACACAGGGAGTTAAAGATGAAACCACCCTCGAAACTGAAACCAATTATCCATGGCAATTTATTAAATAACGAAGGTTTCTAGGCCTTATTAAAATAAATGTTCAGTGTGTTTTCTTATGCTCAGAGGTTCACTTCTTCACTTGTCAGCACCTGCTGGCAGCAGCTGGAGTCCTCTCACCAATTTTGCCGTATGTGCAAATCAATTTGATTTCCCCCAAAAGATAAAAATCAGTAAAGTGATTAAGTTACAATTAAGGCATGTCATTGAAAGCACAGACAACATGAAAAGACTGAGAAGGAATTGCCCTGAAGTCACCAGTGACTTCCTTCTGGCCCTGTTGAGTGAGTGTCCCCTCGGTCTCCCTGCCCCCTCTATGTATGTGACTCTGGGGGGCGGATCAACAAGCCTCCACCCTCTTCCTGAAATTCTCTCCTCTGTTGGCATCCGTCATGCTATCCCCAGGCCGGGTACTCCTCCTCTCACTGTTCTGGCTCTCTAACTGTTAAGATGTCCATCTATCCATCCATCTACCCATCCATCCATCCATCCATCCATCCATCCATGCATGTTCAATAACTCAATGTACTAGGTATGGGGAAAAACAACAAGGTATATTGGTGCCTAGTTTTACACTTTAAGAAATGCTTTTATATATATGATTTCATTAAGTTCTTGTTATAACCACATGAAATGGCTGTAAATATCCCCATTTTATAGATGAGGAAACAGACTCTAAGAGGATCTGTGATTTATTCAAATAGTACAGCCAGTGGGTGGCAGGGTCTGGACATGAACTCAGGTTTTCATTCTCTTAAGAATTCATAATGGTACCTCCCTACATACTGGTCAAGTATAATTTTTCTACCAGTGTCTATGTTCCCAATTACCATGATCCAATCAACCCATATTTATTGAGGCTGTGCTGTGCTCTGAGGGATGCTCTGAATCCCTACTCTCATAGAACTTGTGGCATCGTTGGGGAGACAGACATTAAACACATATTCATACAATCAATATTTGTTTTCAACACATGAGGGAGAGTTAATCTAGTTATGAAAATTAGGAAGTTTTCCAGGAGGAAGTAATCATTAAGATGCATTCTGGAGGATGAATCAGAGATAGCTTTGGAAAGAGAGGATGAAAGAAAAAAAAATCACATATAGAAAGGGCAAAGCATGTGCAAAGGCCCTGTGACGAGAAGACCCAATGTGCTGAAATTTTGAAGGCCATCTTAACTGGCATATAGAGAGTGAAAGGGAGCCTGGCACAGGATGTGGTCCAGACCATACATGACCTTGAAGCCATGAGAATGATTTTTTTTTTTTTTTTTTTTTTTTACTTTTAGCTTAAGAGCAATGGGAAGCCACAAGTCAAGAGAATGACATGGTTAACTTGGACTCTGATTCTGACTTTGGTGTGCAGAATGGATTGTAGAGGAGCAAGAGTGGAAGCAGAGGAAACAGCTGGAAGGCTTTTGCAGTTGTCCAGGTGAGAAGTGATGGCAGCTTGGACCAGGTGGTGGTGGTGGAAATGGAGAGAAGAACCCCACAGGTGCCCCCTGCTCTGCAAGCCCATTTCCTCACTAGACCCTATCACCAGAGTGTGCTCACGAATTTGCAGTACATGGAAGCTTGTCCACACTTCAGGGGTCTGCTGGAGTCTCCTCTTCCAGGAAGCCTTCTCCAGGCAAGGCCAGTCTCCGTGGTCTTTCAGAGGTTGTGCATATCTTCTGCACTGCCCATTCTCCCACCTGATGCTTCTCTAGGGCTTGGCTGCTCTGCGTCCTCTCCGGGAGATGCTTGCATTTCTCTTGTTGTCTTGCTTTCTCCCTTGGGAAAGTAAATGCTTTGTTGGCATTTGCTGAATCGTATCAACAGGGCTCCTTTTGGAAATTACATTTGTAAATGATTACTCATGCCAATTGCCTTCTCCCCCCTTAAATTAAACACTGCTTGCTTAAATCTGTCTTCACGATCTTGTTCTATCAAAAAATGTATGTCCCAGTTTTTTCCATTATTTCCTCTACACTCTTCCATATTTCTTTTAGCAGAAAGCCGTTGGGGGGGGGGGATGGAGTGGAGTGGGGGTGGGGCGGGGGCAGGAGTGTAATTAAACAGGGGCTGTCTGACCAGAATTCCTACACCTTTTAATGGGGCATTTGATTAATCCTTTCCACAGGCACCATTATTCATGCCTTGATGGAATCTCATTTTATAGCTCTTAATACATGGACCCAATTTATCCACATCACATTGTATTCTAATACTTGTCATCCAAGTTATTAGCTATCTCCTTCTCGGTGTAAAATCATCAGCAAGTTTGATTAGTTTATTCCCTGGGGATGATAGGGGAGATAAGAGCAGACGCAGTACAATAGGGCCATCAAAGAAGACTACACATGGGCACCACCCACGGGGCCACACTGAACGCCTGCTCCCTCTGTGGGACCCCAAGCCTTTGCTACACAGAGCCAACCGCTGTTCCTGGTGGGGCTGAGGTGTCATCCTGAGTGACACAATTTTAATAAAACACAGTGGGGCCACCCTCCTGCTTCCCCACCCGCCTCCTCCCCACCCACTCCCTATGGGCACATCCCAGAAGTTCCTCTTATTCCAGGACGTCACTTCCACCTTCAATCCCTGTTCTTGTCCCACTACTGGGGAACTGGCAGGCAAGATTATCTAGAAGGACGTGCGCGGTGCTGCTTACTGTGCGTTCTCCAGCACAGCCTGGGCTCTAAGCAGTAGCCCCTTCTTCCACCTCTCAGCAGCCAGATCTGTGCCTCCGACCCAGGTGGCTACCCCACCCCCACCCCCAGACTGCAGGAAGGAAGAGGTCTGCAAGACTCTTACAGGATGGAGGGCTCAAAGTTTCCCGTGCCCTTTCCTCTACCCAAAAACGCATCCCTGGCCCAAGCAGGCCAAAGCCCTGTGGTCCCAAGAGCCACAGCCCCTTTCCTCTGGACACCAGAGACTCTGTCAATTATTCTCGTAATCTTTTGAGGCCTGGCAAGATGGGGATGAAAAAGGCTCACCCTTTCTTGTAAAGAGGTGGAGCCTAAGAGACTTAGAGATTCATTCCTAATGAACAGAAGAAAGCAGAAATGACACTGTGACATTTCTGGGACCAGGTCAAGAAGGGCGAGTTGACTTCTTTCCTCCCCCCACTGCCTCGGGTTGTTGCGGAGGGAGGCCAACCGCTGTGTTATGAGCAGCCCTGTGGAGAGGCCGAAGGCCCTGAGAGCAAGGAACCAAGGCCTCCAGCCTCCAGCCACAGGAGTGGGTCATCTTGGAAGTGGGTCCTCCAACTATGCTCAGGTGACAGTTTAGCAGCAGCCACACGAGACTCAGAGCCAGAAGCACCCAGCTACACCACTCACAGACCTCTGGCCACAGAAACTGTGCAAGGCTGTACATATAAATGTTGGCATCGTTTGTTATGCAGAAACAGGTTACCAATATACTCTTCCTACCTAAGGGGAGGGCCCCCTTCCCCCCTCCAATTCCCTTCTTAGGTTCCATTTCATCTCTTTTTAGGGAGCCTGGATCTTTGTAGTACCCTCTACTGACCGTCCTTGGCTTCTACTGTGTGTCCTCTTGTCCTCTTAAGGACTCCCCTGATAAGAGGGGGGGCGAGAAGGAGGAGCTCCCTGAGGCGTGGGTTTGGAATTCCAGCTCCTTGTCTGCCATCCAGAGTGACAGCTGGCATTGGGAGAATGACTTTTGCAGAGGGCAGCCTTTTCAGGCCATGAAACTCCCTCTTGTTTCTGAATCCTGGGGCCTAATGACATCAGTCAGGCCCACAGCCAGATGAAAGGACTTTGCAAACACCATGTTCCCTTTTGTCGTCCAGGCTCATCTCCTGTGCCCTTTTTGCTCATTTGCAGTTTCTGAAAAAGGTCATGTCTTGTTTCAATGTCGCAGTTAAGTGCGTCTGACACCAGTTGGGGATTCCAGCATCGAATGGGAAAGCAACTGGCTTAGGTGTCGCAAAAACCTACCCCTACACTCCACCCTAGAGCTGTGTCCTGCCAGTGCGGTTGGTCACCATCGTGAGGGAGGTGGTGATTGATCCTCACATCTCTCAGAATCATTAAGAAAAAAAAAAAATCAGGCTGATTTCCCATTTGGTTAAACCCTAGTAATTTTTACAAAATCCACTCGAATTCTTTGGGGCAAGATCAAATAGTCAGAGATATCAAGCTCTTGAAAGACTTGAAAAGGTAAAACAGCCGTGGTCCCAGGCCAGCCTATCAGTGTGTGCCTTCTTGGCTATGGATGCCCAGTTAATCCAAGCCTGGAAATAAAAAACTCAGGGTGTTCCCCTCCCCCACCATCTGTGCTTTAACCACCCTCCAGGGGATTCTGATGCATGGCTGCAGGTTGAGTAGCACTGACTTCAAGGATCAAACGTGTAAATTATTCACTCCCTCACTCACTCATTCCTACGACACTGATTGAGTGCCTACTATTTGCCAGGCACTGAGATCCGGGTCAATGATAAGAAATGCCTTCCTTGAGGGAGTCACTGTCCTTCCTTCCCTTGCTTTATGACAAAGCTTGGTAAGACCACAGGAATCCGAGGATGCAAATACAAGGAGCCAGAATTGATTATTCTCTGTATGTAACTCTTCTTCAATGGATAGGAAAGACACCAAAACTATCCCCCAAACCCCAAGATCATACTCTCAAAATAACTTTTCTAAAATAAGTAAATACATGGGTTTAATTTACCGTGTACAACTGGTTCAGGCTTTTAAGCTAAAATAAAATAAAGTTTAAAAAAAACAAAACCACAAACAAACAAACCAACAACAACAACGAAAAGATGATGTGATTCCACCATGAATGAAATGCAGGGTTCACTTAGGTCTGTGTCTGTCTTTTAATAAACTAACTATTCTGTTGTCTCCTCACCTTGAAGGAAGTAGGAGTCTCTCTTTTTCTCCAAGTCTGCATAAGTCCATATGTATGGTGCATTAGGTCTGTGTCTGTCTTTTAATAAACTAACTATTCTGTTGTCTCCTCACCTTGAAGGAAGTAGGAGTCTCTCTTTTTCTCCAAGTCTGCATAAGTCCATATGTATGGTGCACTTCCTAGGGATGAGCTCTGGGAGACCTCTGGGTTCATCCATTCACTCATCCTTCCCTGATTGTATGAGGCAAATATAGAAAATACCCAGTCTGTCTATGAAGAGTAGAGGGTGGAAGATGGAGCTCTTAACCCCAGTAAATTGTCCTCCTGCCCTGTACTTTCAGCTCCATTTGATCCTTCAGCTGCTCACCCAAAGTACTGATTAATTGGGAAAACATTAAAAGAAATACCACCCTCTTCTAAAAGGTTTCTAGTATGTCAACTTTGGCTGATTCTTAATTTTTGGAATTTGCTTCTCAATTTCAAAGTTCATGCTAGATTTCTCCTTCAGTGCCAAAGTTAATGAAGAGCTGGCTATAGATGTCCTATGGCCACTGGCTTTAGTGTCCTGTATAAGAATCTAGCCTATGCTCAATGGATCCTGCTATGAGATACTACATACACACTATCTCCTTTCTCAGGGTGGTTTAGTGATGCTCAATACTATCAGGGAAGCCAATTTCTCTGTGGTTAGGATGAACTTGAGTTGATCCACCAACCCTGGGCCCTTGTGGCTATGGATGCCCAGTTAATCCAGCAGCTGTGAGGGTGAAGGATGTCACCACAAAAGAAATCAAAGATGTGTGGCTGCACCAGCCACACGCTCAGCCCCTGGGCGTGGGCACGCGGTCTGCCCTGGATAGCTGGGCTCATCCCAAACACATTTAGAGGAGAGTCTTGGGTCTCATGTGTTTTGGTAACTAGATCAGGAAGCCTTCTCTGCCTCCTTGGGAATAACCTGGTGCTTTTACTAAGATTTTTACCCTGACTTCTAAAGTCCATGTGGACTATATAGAAAACCTTGTGGATATTTTTCTAGCCACGTATAGAGCTTGTAACTTGAGGGGAACGGAAACACATCCGCCTTTCCCATTGACTTTCTGTAATCAAGTCTTTTTAGAACAAAAAGTCCAACCCCTTGCTATTTTTAATTCAGGGATGCTTGTTGGCTTTTGCTGAGACATTGATTTGATTAGTAGCATTCTGTGGAACTACAGACATGAGATGTTGAGCTCACAAATGTATGATTCATTTCAGGATTCTGAAATGAGAATCATACCTATCAATGGCACACTGGAGGCTGGGAGATTCTGAGAAAGCATTTCCTGCATATAAATGGGACAAGTGATGAAAAAATTTGCTTATGGTTATGCTTCTGAAGCCAGGGACCACCCCACTGTGCTCTCCACCCCAGAGAAGTGACGGCTCTATGGGAAACTGCTGGGATTAGACAATCCTGCATTTGGACACCCATATGCTGCCTCATTTATCTACCTGTGACAGGGACAGTATTGGAAGAGAATCAAAAGATGACAAATTGCTTCTGGTTCTAAAGGAGCTGTTCAGGCTGGGTGCGTGCCCAGAGGGAACCAGGTTTCGTGCCAGGAACCATTGCTTCCTCCCATTCTAAGGCCACATTTTGGCAAACACTGACCAGCAGATGACTGTTGTCTCCTTTCACCAGTGGATTGCCAGACACTTGCTCTGAAAAGGCCGAAATGCAGTCTTTCTGACGGTGACATGTGCAGCAGAGGGCAGACCTGCCCGCACACTGCGGTGAGGGCGGATGGTGGGCATGAAGCGAGAGTTCTAGATGATAGAGATTTTCTTCCCTCTGGTTGAAGCAGATGAATAACAGGGAACGATTTTTCAGGATTCCAGAGTAGACAGAGATACAGAATCCTAGACTCTGGGAAAGACTGACTCATATGAGACAAGTAGATACAAATGTCTAGGATGCTGATTCCTGGAATCTGCTTTCGGGGACACAGATCCCCTCATCCCCAAGCTTTGGTAGGGAGGAGGCATATCAGGAGTTTCTGTATGGA